TTTTTTTTAATCAGCTACTGGTTTTATCACTCTTCGTTGCCTGCAAATAAGAGCTTTATTTTCCCACTGTTTTGCAGGTCAGTGAGGGCTTCCTGTCCGGCTATTGGGTGGTTACCGAGGACGGAGACCTTCCACAATCCATCTTTGTGAGTTCGCCGATGTACGTCGTGCAAACGCTTTATCTCACCACTGTCATGCATGAGACGGTGGAAACCGCTTTTTCTGCTCTCTTCTGCTGCAAACGCAAGCAGAAGAGTCGGTTTCTCGACGGTTTGCTGTACCTGCGCTGCCCTCGGGTGGCGCGGAAACTGTGCCTTGACGCGAGTGACCGAGTGACGACCAAGCTCGGAAGTGGCTGTGTTGCGTCCGGTTGACTTTGGTCGCTTCCGACGTCGGTGCATGTTTGACGAGCGTCGGCAAGCCGACAGCTCTTTTTGCTTGCCACGTTTTGTCGCCTGACGACGCCGACTGGCGGTTGGCAATAATTGGTTTTTTTTTCTCTCTTCACTGCCCCCCACCCCACCCCAAAACAGGACGAGATGTCGACGGCTGCAATCCTCGTCTACATCGGCCAAAAAGACGAGCTGCCCAGTGACGAGTGAGTGAGTTGTCGGTAACTGTCGGTTTCTTTTGCATTCTCGCGCAGACAACCTGTGCTCCACTCCGGACTCGAGCACACACGGACACTGATGCATGCACATGCGTGCTCATACAACCGCTTAGGACCAGTTGGTCACCATGACAACTGAAATCTCATTCGATTCCGATGCTGATGTGTCAAGATTGCATGCGCCCGACGACGAATGGCATCGACCATCTTGCGACCATTTTAACGAAAACCAACCAAAATGTTGAGTACACTTGCCCGAAAGTCTGTGAATTTCGATGAGGCCCAAGTCATATTTCAATCTGGATGTTTTGTTTGTTTGCCAGCGTTTGTCGGCCTTCAACTGTTCGTAACATCGGACACATCTTCTTGCGAGAGAGAGAGAAAGAGAGAGAGAAAGAGAGAGAGAAAGAGAGAGAGAAAGAAAGAGAGGAGAGGAGGAGGAATACGAAGCGACAAATGGGAATTGGTAACAATGTGCTCGCGAGAGACATTTCTGGGCCAGCGGCGGTATCGTTCGGTTTCGCAGACAGCGACCGATTGTGTGTGGCTATTGCCACAAAAGATTGGAAATCTTTTACAGAGAAATTTTCCACTCTTCGCGGAGACGTAGATGAAGGTGCAAGTGAATGAGGAAACCTTTAGGGTAGAATGGAAATATGTATCAGTTGCGAAATGATCTTAGACGATCTTCCGTTTTCAGTGAAACCGTTTGGCGACGCGATTCCAAGCATCATTCTCAACATCACAGTTGAGCAATCGCTTGTGCATAACTGTTTTGTACAAACTTGTAGATAAGGTTTCGAATACATTTCATATTTCGTAGGTGTGTGTATAACCCAAAACTATGCTTATGATAATCGTCGACTATTTGTGTGTGCTTATGTGCTTTCATGCCTTCGTATATGCACGACGCAGGAAATGAAAGGTCAAAGTAATTGAAACAGAATCATCACTGCTGGTCTCGTGCATATACGAACACATAAAGGCACATAAACACACACAAACAGCTGAGTTGAGCATAAAAATTTAAACAACCAAATCAATTTAGGCCAAATTAAAAAGCATACTTTTGGGGTATATTTATGCAGAAATATGAGATGTATTCACCATAATTCGTTCAAGGTTGTCTCGAAACACTACTGACATGCGGGAAATAAGTAGCATAGTCTATTATTGTAGCAAAAATACATTTTCTTAATCGACAATCCCACCAAACAACATGACATGGGAAGAGGTATGGCCTTCTTAGAAATTCACTAGTGGCAATTTGGCGTAGTCGTTAACGTGTCAAGATTATGCGCTGCACTGTCACGGTTCGAGTCCCTCTGGGGGTATTGATAAGACCGAGGCGAGGTCGAAACTGCAGTCCACTGGGGCCTGAATGAGAAGAACTTTTGCAAAAGCAAGGTTCTGTAAAATTGAATGGAAGCGTCAGCTCGACACATATAATTGTGGAACAATTCTTCTTCTACGAGTCCTTCATCACCTTAAACGAAATTGGGTAAATACATTTCATACTACTGATT